CCACACTACACATACTGGCTGTCCAACCATTTGTGTGCAAGTACTTGAACAGTTATATTCTTGTTTGTACAGTTTTTATTGGTGTTTACAAGATTATAAACAATTTGTTCAGTAGTGTAAAGTACTAGCAGCTTTCAAATAGTGAGCATTGAGTGCATTTATCATACAACTTTATGGAAATAGATAAAAAACAACTTAGAAATGCTGTAGAGGTTCAAACTTTATTGAGTTTACTTGATGACAAAATTCAAACAAATCAAAAACCTAGAGGTATTGATGTGGTGAAGCTAACTTAATGTAAAGCTTGTTATGCATAATGTAAAAATCTGCAGAAGTTTCATTATAGAAATGAATTATAGTATTGATTCAGATTTATCTTTGTTTTTGTGGAACAAGCTTATTGCATATTTCTAGGAACAGTTGTGCTCGAAAGATTCAACATCATGTGCTGAGAAAACAGCTGAAGATAGCAGTTGCCCACAATGTTCCTATTGTGATTCACTGTAGAGATGCTCATGAAGACTGTTTAAAAATTTTAAAAGAGGTAGGAAAATGTGTGTGGAAATTAACTTTTAAAATTTTAATAATCTTTGAGGAGATACAGACCTTATCTCAACAATGTATGCTTTGTTTTAATCTTAATATTTAATTTGTTTGCATTTCCTGTATTACATAAAATGCCTCTGTGTTCAATTTAAATGTTTTAATAAACTGTTACAGAGAGATGATGGTTCATAAAAAAAAAAATAATAAGAAAAATAAATATATATATTTCCAAAACTTGCTTGTAAAAATTGGAAATTAGTATAATTCAAAAAATAAAATAATAGTACTGCTTGCAACATTGACTTTTGCAAAGTATTGATTTAGAATAAGGACTCATCTTGGAGTTAAGGAAACCATCAGAGAATATGGTAAATTTGATGTTAGTTTTTTATATAATTAACTTCTATGTCGTATTTCATAAAAATTTATTGAATTAATGGTAGAATTGAATTATTTAAGAACACTTCAGTTAGTAAAAATGGCATTCTGATCATACAATAATGACTAAAAACAACCATATTAATATTGCATTTTGTTTTGTAAATCATGTGCAACTAAAAAAAAAAATTCAAGATAATAATTCACCTCCATACACAGAAATGTTATTTTTTTTTGCCCATCTGCCTTTGAGGTGTACATGTCAGTAGCCTTGAGGTAATTCCCAACTAAATTGAACTGTACTAGTGCATGATAATGTCATCATACAAAAAAAAGTATTCGACCAACAGGAGGGTAACACAACCTCCATGTGCAGTAACTCCCCATATGTACTTATGCTCTTGAGAGCTTCTTTCTTTTCCTTGGCATAGCATTGAACAGATGTATTCAAATTTTTCATCCAAGTTCAATTCGATGAGATTTACAAGTGTTCACAAAAGTTTGGTTTTCATATTACATTGGCTTTTGTTTCAAAAGTTTTACTTCTTATCATGAATTCTCAAGTGATGGTGACTTTAACTTTATTCCGTGTGTCATTGCTCACACAGGATAATTTGTACTTTGGCTTCTGGAACTTCGTTCATTGTTAGAAACATTAGGGCCTTTGTTCAACATGTTGTGGATTATCATATGCTTATTAGGCCTATTCTTCCCATCACTTCAGTCGACATTCTTTTTTTCCTCAGTTGTGAGTGACTAGTTGGACATTGCATTTAACCTGATTTGCTTTTAGTAACATCTTACTGTTCGAGGAATATCCTTAATCTTCCTGTCTATTTCCAGATGTCATTTCTTGGGTAGGATCCTTTCATTAGTTTTTGCCTGTGCATTTCATTAATATTTCCTGTTATTTACCCCATGAACACAGTTCTCTGGATTACTTTGTCTTTCCTCTTTTGTAGGATATTAGGGTTTGTGCTGTTTTCTTTTTCAAACAGTTCCACACTCTTCTCTCCTCTGCATTCATGACTCTCTTTTTCTTCTGACTTTCAATCATTCTGCCTTTATTTTTCTAGATTCCCTGTCTTTAGACTCTCTTTTGCCTCCTTAGAGAGCAGACCCTTTTCCTTCTGTTTCACTCTCTTGTTTTCCAATTTTGCATCTTATTCTTTTCCTCAAAACTCTCCTATATTATCTTTCCTCCCTCCACTTTTTGTCTATGGCACTACATCGTGTTGCAAAAGGGTTTTCTAGAGAAGTTTATTCCCTTCTCCTTACCAGCTTAGCCTCTTCCACTTCTTGTGCTCTGTCCCTCCTTATTTGGTTCCACTGATGTTGGGACTTGTTGGATCTATATGTGCTCTTCATTCATGTACACTTTCCTCTTTCTTGTGTATGTGGTCTATGTCGAGCTCCCTTCCTTTGCTCAGAAGTTTTTGGTGGTCTTTCTGTTTCACTGGAGTTCTGGGCTGAAGTAGTAAATCTTCAGTTCTCATTATCTTCCCATGCTTTTTATCTTTCTCTACCTTGCCCTTTGATTTCTGTTCCCTGACAGATTCAATCTTCTCCTACCTTCCCATTTCAGTTTTCAGGTCTTTCTTTTTTTTTCCTTACCTTCTGTTACCTGAAGCTCATTTTGTTTTCTATTCTGTTGAGTCAGTACCCTGTGGGTACCTGTCTTTCTCTCTCATTGGTCTCAGTTTTCTGCAAAATGATGGATTTTCCAAAACATACTTATCTTCTCTCACACTACAGCTATTACTTGTTTGTTAGGGTTGCTGTTCCTTTGCCCATCTAAGCATTGGTCTCATTTTCTCTTGCTTGCTTCAGTCTTTTATTCCCTACTTAATTGCCCTTGGCGATATCTGTCTCGTGATACTCTCCACCTACATCAGTGCACCCTATATCCTGGTACTGTATATAAGCACCTGCTTCAGATAATATTATAATTTTTTTTCGACAAAGGGTTTCTCTGCAGTACGACTGTTGGAGATACTTTGATCATTCTTCATGTTACCTATTTGATTTTCATAAAGAAACAACAAAAAACTGATTGTTTGGTAAACCGATATACGGCATGCTCAGTGCTCAGTTACATGAAAGGACAGCTATGCCTTATCTGCCTTGTCAGAACAACATGCTTTAGCGTACCACTGCTATGTGGAAGCATGTTTAGATTCTCAAAGAACAGACCCACTCCTGGAAATGTGGAGTTCCAGAATGGAGTCTGTGGTCAACCTGAGTAGATCACAATTTTCTAGGATTTGTCTGACCCTAACTATTGTGCTGAGCTATTTATTATCCCTACACCTTTTTTGGAAACCTCTCAGTGATTGCCGCATCAATTTGATGACAAGTTGGGACCGTTGTTAGCATCCAATTTGGTTCGATTGTCAGCTTCTTCACTTTTCCTAGTCTCTTGGTTGGTATGTTGTTGTGTAGAGATGTGTTGTTGGAGAGCATTTGTCTACCTGCTGCCACCCTCTGTGAGTTATGTAAGGCCCCTTTTCTCCGACCCTTGATTTTTGTGTTCCAGAATCTTTGGAATTAATGGTTGATGTCGCCTGTCTGCATTCATCCCTGTTGTTGTTGGCTTGTCGACTTTCCTCGGCTCCTACAGGGGTTCATAGTTTCACCCCTATTCAAGTGGCCTGACATCAGCCCCTCAGTCCATTGGTACCCAGAATAGATTCTGCCCATATCCATAAGGTTCCTCCGCTCAGTTGGAATGGCACCAGTGATGGCGGTGACTATCGTTTTCCTTTGTGGTCTGTCAGGGTTTGGCTCTGAGAATTTCTGGATGTGTGGAAAACCTATATCATGGATTCATGGGTACTACGGGTCCTTGCATCAGGATTAGTCGTTCAGTTCATATAACCACCACCATTATCTTTCCAACCTGTAGTGTTTCTGCCTCCCGCAGATCTCCTATTGGTGGAGGGCTTTTGTCGTATGATAATGTCATCATGCACCAGTGCAGTTGATGTTAAACACATGAATTTAGGAGGGAGTTACCTCAAGGCTAGTGGCATATACGTGAGAAAGACTGCATTTCAAAGAGGTGAGTATCTATTGGATACAAAAGTAAATTTGGTGTCCTGGTGCTGAGTACTGTGAGACACACTTAAGTCCAAGAATTTAGCCATCTATTTTATGATGGGTGATTCTGATATCCATCTCAAAAGGATGCTTTAGTTTGATACCATCTGTTGATAAGTTTGGCATCCAAATGACTTGCACTTTTAATACTAATTAATTATTTTTTATTAGGTAAGGTGAAAGCATTTTTTTCTCACTCAAAAAAACTCAATGTTTTGCATTACATGTGGATTGTGAAAAAATGAATATTTATTGAATATTTTAATCATAGATTTATACAGCATTTCTACTTGTATTTCATGGATTGAGGTTATCATATCAAAAGCAAACAGTAAAAAAGAGTAGCCTTTAAAGGAAACTCACTGAGTCTTTTAATGACAGAAATAATTGATTAATAGACAAGAATTAGTGTAGGTTAACAAGTACATACATTTAGCATAGATAAAAAATAAATTTCTGTTGATGCACCATTGAAGGTCAGTGGTCTTTGAAACTGTTTTGATAAAAACAAACAAACATTAAATATGGGTTTCTATGCAGACCAGCAGTTGATAGTAAAACCAATTTTAGTTGGGAATTAAATTTTAGTGCATGTAATTTTGAACACCTCGAAAACATCAAATTTGGAAATAATATTGATGCCGATGTTTTTTTTAAGACCCAGGTTGATTTTAATTTAACAAAGATAAATACATAACCGTTTACTTGGTGTATTGTAAGGAAGGAAATGTACATCTGGTGTATGCATATGAGAAGGTTTTTATAGATACTGAAGAATATTTTGGGGGATATAGATACAAGTGTGTGTTAAATAAGCTCTGACTGGGCTTGAACTTTTTAACTTCTGCTGCTGTATCTTTGTGAAGTGTTTAAATATTGTATGGAAATAATTATTTCTTTTACGAATTTCATTTATATATCTAACTTGTAAGCTTCACAAAGTTTATGTAAGATGAAGATGTCCAGAATTATTTATGATTATCAGTCGTGCTGCTATTTCTGCAACTCGTTCCTCTTGATATGTGTGAACTGTGAAAGTTGAAGAATTTATACTTAAAATTGCTTACTGAAAGTGTGTTATCTGTTGAGAGTGTAATCTGTATAAAAAGAGAAATTGACAAGAATAGGATTGGTTTTTGTTCTTCTGAAAGTTTAAATAAATTGAATACAGTGAGCTTTTTCTTAAAATCAGTTTAGTTTCATTCAAACAATCATAGATTGCTTTATATTTCAAACTTTTGCATCTTTTGAATTATAGGCTGATAAAGTCTAAAAGTGATATTTTTGTGTAATACACAAATTGTAGGAAGTGCCCTGTGACCACTTCATTCATCGTCATTGTTTCACTGGTAACTGGGATGAGGCTATCTTATGGTTAGAAACATTTCCAAATCTCTACATTGGTTTAACAGCTTTAGTGACTTTCCCTGCAGCCACAGATGTACATGAAGTTGCTCGTAAAGTTCCGCTGAACAGGCTTCTTCTTGAGACAGATACACCTTATTTTCTTCCCAGATTAGTAAGTTTTGCTTTCTGATATTCTTATAATGCAAAGATATTACGCAGGTTATGATAGTTGCAATTATTGACTCTAGCTAGTTTTCAAACTGATAAACTAGGCATTAATTATGTAATATTTTGAATAAAAGATGCACTTATAGAAATAAACCACTTAAATATTTTTTGTTCCTTCATCTTTTTTAACCTTATCCCAAAGAATGTATTATGCAATTGTTCTTTCATGCTCTTTTTTTCTTGTCTCAAGTTTTACTAGCTGAATGACTCACATACATATTAGGTTTGAAACTTTATATTTGTACATGATGGTTAGTACCTACACAGAAATTCACATCCTTAGTCATAGACCAAACATGGCTCAGTTTCTAGTTTACCAGACTATGAATTTTCAGGCCCATCATTCATGTCCTATTACTGCAAAAAAATACTAATTTTGCTTTGCAGTTTGGTGCCTTGGTTGCATTATAAGGGTGGCAGTCAAACTACATTATCCAATAGAAAATGCCCAAGAGTTGGCAGTGGGTGCTGTTGATTATCTACCTTCCCTTTTGTCTTTCAGTTCAAAATTAGGTAGCTCTTAAGTAGCTTCACACAAATATCCAATTAGAAGAGTGACAGTTGTAACAGGAAGATGAAGTTGATATCTTTAATATCCAATGATTATTACTAGATACTAGTATAAAACCCAACCATTTTTGAATGATTAACGAAGATTATAGAATTTAACTAAAACGAATTTTTCTGTACCTCCAAAATGCACCTACTCTTCACATATTTCATCAGTCTTGAAGTAATTCTTTAATCACCACATTTTTAGTAAAAACTATGCAGAAATATGAAATGTTATCATGAACAAAAGTAGGTGTGCACTCTCATAGAGACTTAAATAGCACTCTTCAGCCTTTTTACTATATCCTAGGTCAGAAAGTAGAAAACATAGTGCAGACATTCTGAGCAAATTTTCAACTCTTTCGACTGTATAAAGGATAAAATATATTTAGTAGTAATAAACGTTTATTTTTGTTTATGTTTGAAAGTCAAGTAGGTAATATAGGTGTTTGAATACCAAAATAATTAACATTTATTCACTACTTAAAACTTTTTAGACACTAACTGTATAACGTTAGTAATAGTAGGCCTATTTGTAGTCTATTTCAAGCATTAGGCCTAAGACATAAACATAATGTAAGGCTTAGCTGAAATACTACTCGGTAGATTTTATTTTGCTTTTGGCTACAACTCAGTGTCATAAACTTCTGAATTAAACTATTCTGCTGTTATATCACCAAAGTTATTAAAAAATAAAGAATAAAAACACAAACCTTTCTAACAAATCAACATGAATTTTGAGCATTCAACATATACACCATAGTTGGCCAAAGAACAATCAGGTGATCATTTTTTTGCTAAGCGACAATTTATTATGTTGAGCATTACTAAAAAACGTGTGAAAGCATTCTCCACAGATTGACAAAGGGAAGAAACCTTTTGTAATTAGTGATTGAGTAGCTGGTTTTATATTTAATATCATTTGATTTTACTTTTATATAATTTACACTAAATTTAATTTTTTATGAATAAAAATTATTAGTGTAAATTTTACTACAGATACATTAAGCTTATTTTTAATATGTTCTTAAGGGAAGAATTAACTATACTTCCTTATTTAAAAGAATTAATTTCTGGTTTCATCACTAATTTAAAAATACAGTTAATCTGGTATGATTTTGAATACCTACAATGTTCAAAAGAGAAGAAGGGTGTCACGGTCTAAAGAAGCATAACAAAAGAAATTGAACACCATTAACAAAAATCAATTGTAATCTGTTTCCATCAAAGCCCAATATATGTACCACACTCTTGTAATGCTGTATAGATATGCAATAGTTGGTGTCAAGGGTATATACATTTGTCTATTATTTTGAACACTTCATATTGAACATTTCCAAAATGAAGAAAGATGTCATGGTGTAAGGATGTGTAACAAGTTAGTTAATCTGGTATTAGTTTGAACACTTACAATGCTTACCAGTGAACAAGGGTTTCATGACGTGAAACATAAATCTGAATAAATGAAACACATTCTTTACAGGTGGGGATCTTTATTTATTGAAATTTTATTCTCAGTTTAATTCCTAGGATGATTTTCACTAGGCACCAAGAAAAATGAAGTGGTCTCATCCTGGGATGGTTATCCATGTGGCAGCTCAGATTACTAAACTAAGGGAAACAACTTCTCTTAATGAGATCCTGAAAATTGTTCGCTGTAATACAAGAAGAATGTATAAAATATAATGTTCTTTTGTTGTTCTTATATCAGGTGAGTATGCTCTTAGTAATAAACAATTATAAAACATATGAGCCACGTTGGAGTACAACTGACTCTCGATTATTTGTAGGAAGATCATTTGGTTTAAAAATTAACTGTGCCATGATTCAGAAAATTTCATTAGCTGTGATATTTCAATGTAGCTTTGAACTGCTTTCACTATGGTTCCTATTCATTTTGTTTGCAATTTGTTTCATATTCTTTCTTTTTGTTATTTTATCTTTTGCTTATTTTATTGTGTATTGTATGTTGTGTTTATTTACTATTGAGAACAAAATGTAAATGAATTATATTTACAATGCAACAAGAACTTGAGATTATTAAAAAGAGTAAACAAGGGTTGACTGTTCATGATATAAAAAACAACAAGGAAAAAATATGTATGCTAGTAATGCTGACAGTATGAGTGGTTTATCTAAACACAAAACCATGAAGTCGGCTACATATGATGAGTTGTACAAGGCTATGGTTGAATGGTTTAACCAGCAGAGGGCAGACAGAACACCTTTGTCTGATCTAAACAGGCCGTATTTTTTCTCATAGTTTTAGGTATGGAAGGTGATTATAATGCATCATCTGGTTGGCTGGTATGATTCAAGCAACACAACAGAACAAGAGAGATAAGCATTCAAGGTGAGAACTTGATTGGGAACAAGGAAGTGTCACATTAGTTTAATCAAGACTTTCATAACTTTGTGGAAAAAAAAATAATTAAAATAAGGACAAAATGTACTCTATTGGAAGTGTCTATCAACAAGGACATTGGATTTTGAACAAGAACATCGAGGTTCAGGTCACAAGTCTTGCAAAAAAGTTTGACAGTTCCGTGTTATGGCAATGCTGTAGGCACACACAAGTTAAAACTTGTGTGTGTTGTAGTAAGCAAAGAAACCAAGTTATTTTAAAGGGACTGGAGCCTAGTGTTTACCTGTCAATTATTTCAACCAAAAAGGGGCATAGATGGGCTGCACAATTTTTAAAGGGTGGTTTGAAAAGAAAATCATTCCTCAAATAAATAACAACTAAAAATCACTTGGAGTGCTGGATAATCCAGTGCTTCTGCTAAGAAACGCTTCTTTCCATCTGAACGAAACAATTTTAAAACATAGTGGCGAGAAGGTATTTTTCAAGTACTTGATGCCTAAGGTGACATCTTTGATACAGCTATTGGACAAAGAAGTCATATACTGCCTGAAATGGTATTAGCATGCAAGGTTGTTTAAAAAAAAATGTTGAGAAAGATGTCAATCTAAAAACATTTTGGAAAAGCCTGAAATGTGTTGGATGCAATATATGAAGTCAATAAGGTATGGAATTTAGTAAAGTGAGGAAACAGTTATGGAGAAATCTTCTGCAATTAAATGATGAGGTGTTAGAAGGTTTTGATTAAAGAGGGTTTGTGGCACAATTAATTCTGATGTTGCATCACGTGGAAGGATGTGAAAACGTAGATGAAGAAAATGTGAGAGAGTGGATCCAAGTAAATGATTGTGAACAGGGGTGCAAAGTTTTATCATTGGAAGAAGTTAGGTGCACTAAGTAAGTAAAACAGCAGACAACAAAGGAGAAGAAGAAGAGAAACTGGTGAATACATAGTCTATCAGTCAATGTGCATCTCTCTGACATGCATATAACCTACTTGACTACTTAGAGCAACAGTGGGCATGCTATTATCAGACAAAACTATTTTTTTGCAATCTCTTTCTGGAATTAGAAGAAAAACATATCAAATAAAAAAAGAAGACTGAATGATTATTTTAGATGATTGTAGTAAAGACTGTCACTCTTTATATTATGTAAAAATCCATTTTCCACCATTTTTGTTTGTCTTTGAAAAGCATATACATACGTAAGGTCTTTTTTTGTGTTTTGCATTATCCACCCCCCTCACTCCCTCCATTATGTCATTTAATTGTGAGTCAACCATATTTTATGTTTTTATAATACTAACATTTTTGATAAATGCAACACTAATACTTCTACGTTTTGATTTGAATGTAAAGTTGTGCTGAAGCCTTTTAAAAATGCATTTTTTTTCATTTGCCTTTCTTAACTTATTAGATTATTGTTTTTGTATTCCATATGTAAATATGGTCAGAGAACAGAAGTATTTTGGAAATATGAGTACATTGAACATCACAACAGACTGGCTGGGTATGGAGTAGTAACTAGCATGTTAGACAGTGAATCTGAAGGTATATGGTTCATGTCCCATTTTTGAATTATTGCGCTCTGCACTTTGAGGCTATGAGTGCATTAATAGAGTGATGGTCAAATCCTTTTGTTGAATTGGAGTAGCCTAAAATTTAGTAGTGTGTGCCGTCTTCCTTCTAGCCTAACAGTTTAAAATTAGATGGCTAGTGTAGAAAGCCGTTGTGTAGTTTTAAGAGAGTATCTAAAACAGACAAAATAATAGATTTTAATTTCAATTTTCTCTTCAAATAACTAAAAATTTTTAACATTTGCATTATTTAAACATAACTTACATAAGTGTGATTGAAGTATTGGATTGGTTTCAATATGGATCAAATTTGAACCATCAAAAAATCTATGAAAATAACTGTGCTAAATAAAAAGATGCTAATTTTAATATATTCCCCCATAATCTTTAGTTGGGATAACATTTTTAGTTCAACCAATTGTCTGGCTGTGAAATTATATTTTGATCAACTTTCTAAATTTATTGTGAATTAGAAAGTAGTTGATACTTTTTCAAACATTTGGAACATCCATCAGCTAAAATGTCTGCTAAATACGAGTTTTATGAGTGAATATTCAAGATTTTGCTGATTTTTCAAGAATGTGACATTTGTCTAGTGCCATTTTATTTAGAAGTACAGCTTAAATGTATTAAAATAATTAGCAAATGATTTTCAAAGAGAAGAAATTATTTTTACATATTTTATGAAACTGTGGCTTGATTTGTTGAAAAATACCTTAATAGGTTTAAAAAGTTTGGTATAACTATTAGGATCAGTCCATCAATTGGATAAAACTCAAGTATTAGCTTTTATATTGACATGTTATGCCTCAAACTTGAATGTTAATTTTAAAAGTAATTATTTTTCTTTTTTTATCCAGTTTGAGTTGAAGCAGTGGCAGTAGACTTGTGAATTTCTGAAGATGAATAAAGCAATACTATAGTGAGATTTTGATATGCATATGATAAAAAATGTCTGTACGGTATGTACTCAAATTGTTTATTTATTTTTTTTCTGGATGTTCATATATTATTTTGATGTTACAAAAGATGAAAAATAGAATAGCTGACTATTCAACATTATTCAGTTTTGTCTTTATTTAAAAAAAAATATTTGAAATGAAAACCACACTATTTAAAAGATATTTTTTTAAATCCTTGACTTCCAAAAAAATTTTGTTTTTAATATTCTGTATTAAATATTTTTAAAGCATACCTTATGTATTAAACTATGAATAACCTCTTGTTAAGTCTCTGCTGCTGTCATGTGTTTGAGACTACACTTATTGGTTTTATATGTACATTTATTTAAACCATCTTGTAAACTGTAAAAAATAATTCTATAGTTAGTTCAAGGTAGCTGTTTTTTATTTATTTAAGGCAAATTAAGATTTAAGTATATGCTTTTGAAAAATGTGGCTAAATGTGATCTCTGTTGTTCTTAAAAGCTATTGTTGAAAGATGAAGCTAAATATGATCTCTATTGTTCTTAAAAGCTATTGTTGAAAGATGAAGCTAAATATGATCTCTATTATTCTTGAATTCTATTGTTGCAAGATGTAGCTAAATATGATCTCTATTGTTCTTAAAAACTATTGTTGAAAGTCATAATTTTTTTATGTCACTTATTGTTTTTTGTAATGTTTGATAAAGTTTTTCCCAGAAGAGTTCTGTGATATGACATTGAAGTTTCTAGAAATTAATATTATCATATGAGTATACTTAATCTGAATTCCCTTTTTATTTGAAGTCAATTTTACTATTTGAAAATGTCATGTTTTGAACTAGCAGTTCATACTTTTCAATCTTGAAGCAAATTGTTGATTTAGATGTTTCTCTTAGTTTTAAGTTGCTATAAATGAACAAACAATTGAAAGGCCTGCATAAAACTTTGTATGGTAAAATGTTCAGGAATTAAATTAGACACCAGTTAATAATCATATATGATTAATTTAAAGGAGTTTTAGGTGACTATTTTGTGTATAATTAAAGTTTATGAAAAAAATTGAATATAGAATGTTTCTATAGTTATTTATCAGTTTGAAAAGTACTCTTATTTTATGAAAACTACCTGAACTTTTTAAAATACAAAATCTTCAAGATTTTTGTTTATTCTTTGTGCACTAGATTTTTATGCGAGTTTATTCTAAATGTGATGAAGTCATAAATATAATTAAAGAGGGTGTGTTTCTCCAGTGTGAATATTTCTTGATATATGTATGTATGTATATTTATCAAGTTTTATTTAATCCGCCTTCTACAATCCTTACATATGTAAACAACCACGCTTTTAGAACTTTCTTCTTGATACCTTGTGATCCAAATTACATGTCTTGTAGATGTTGAATAATGCTAATTGACAGTAAAAATCTGAATTAATACTCAAACGATGAAGCACTTCAAGTTTGTTTGCTTATGTAAAAAAAATCCCTAAGACTGTGATGGAATTTAAACAGACCTGTTTAAGTAACTTGTTGAAAATGTTTCGTAGCGTATGCTAATGTAATAGAAAATAGAGATGTGGATACATCACGCTTTATGCAAAATCTTTGTTTATTCAGGTTACATAAACCGAATTCTCTTAACTAAGCGAACTGGTTAACTGTGCTTTCTGTAACTATAAGTAAAATGAATCAAAATGAAGCACAAATTTTGAAAATCCAGAGCACCAACATTTGAACAAAATTATTTTTAAAAGAAGAGTGCTACAGGTACAATTAATGAGTGGTACAAGTAATATTATGATAATTTTGGTACAAGTAATATTATGACAATTTTTTGCTCTTAAATTCTATCTGATTTCATTGTTTTAGTTTAATTAAAAGCTGGGTATCACTTACTTTCATTCAAAAATTAATATTGAGTTATACTTAAATTTCAAATACTCTACCCATTATTGCACTTTTGTTTTCAATAGAAATGTATCATTGACTTAGTGTATAGTTGGTATGTTGCACTATGTTTACCGTATATGCAGTGTATGTTTTCAGTTCTTCCATCAAAGAACCTAATGATAGTTAGCTTAGTAAACAAGTTTGAAAACTTTATTCTATGTATGATAAGTTTTAATGATCATTACTTACACATACACGTGCTTTGACAGCTAAATTGGAAAAGTCATCACCATCATCATCTTGATCAACAATTTAATTCACCATTATTTGGTTTGTGTTATGATATCTTGTTATGAAATGTGACCCATGCAACTACTACAGATTGTAGTTTTAAACTGCACTAAAGTTCATAAAAATGTTGAAAAAGTGACAGAGTGATTTATTCAATGTTTTCATTAATTATAAGGTGTGTTCAAAATCCTTATTTTTTTTTTTATTATTGAGATTGAAGGACAGAATCTCAGCATATGTATAAAGTAAAAAAGTTCATAGCAATATAGATAAGACTTTATCAGAATACTTTACTTTTTCTTCCTCCTGTATATTGAATCATTTAATTTTACTTAGAATCCTTTTAGAATCAAAATGAATATCTGATTGTTACTTTTCTTTGTGAATTTATTTTTGGGAGTCTAAGCTAGTCCTGAAAAGTAATCAGTTGTTTTTGTTGTATTGAAAATAAATGTGTTTTGTGTTAATAGTTGATAAATAGTGAGTAAGAAATGACTTTTATGTTTATGTTGGAAAATATTATATTATTCATTACATTTGCTTGTTATGGGACTTTATGATAAGTATTAAAAAAATTTAAAAACATCGGTAGTCTTGGTGAGCTGTTTAGCTATTGTCCTATTATAAGCATGTGGAAATTAAAAATTACTGATTGATGCTGTAAGAAATAACATTTTATGAATTTATTGTATATGATGAATAAAAGGAATTAAATTGCATTGGTAATCACTATCATTCACTATATCAATTATTTCAAATTATTTTGGAGTACTATATTTTTCACATAATACATTGAACCTCTTCTAGTTGTTGCATACAGAGAGTTGCACTAAGAGCTAAATTGGAGACGTATGTCTGTGGAATGCCTGGGTAAAAGTAAGAGGAATATAGAAACAATGCTTGCACGTACCTGAACTGAGTCTCAGTGAAACCATAAATCTAGAGAAAAAATATATTTGAAATATCTGCTTGAGTCTGATTTAGAGTGAAACCACAAGATGCAAAAAGAAGTGAATTTTGTCGCTTGTGAACAGCTACTTGAACATGTGTACAGTGAATCTTAAAGATGCATACAGGTGACTTACATTCATTAAAGCAATGTCTGTGCAGGCTTCCTTGGATTATCAGAGAAGTTTAGATGGGTAAATGTGGTGTGCATCAATGCCTTTCCTTTACCATGCGTAGATGAATGTTTAGATCTATTAGATGACCACTCTGGAACTTTGAGAATAGAAAATGAAGAACCCAAACATTGCTTGGACACTACTTGCTGTTTAGCAAGATAGTTCATGGTCTTCACTAACTGGGAAATGTGTTACTGATGTGCTCAAAAGCCGATGCCTGTATAGTCAGTTACTAATTCAAGAAGGCATACTGAACCATGGTTATGAACCACCAATACATGGTAGCCAATCTGTTATGCATCTAGCAGTCCCAAGAGCTCTGAGGCAGGAAGTTCTTTCGATGGGTACCAGGGAGTGTGGTCAACTATTACCAATGTAGGGAAGCAGGTTTTCTGTACTAATTCATTTAAAGCTATTGAGCCATGTCAAGGAAAATTCAGAGAGTGGTAGGTTTCCTTTTGAAGAGAATTGCCTTGGATATAGCTAGCCCTTTGCCAGTGTTGGACTGGATCTCCAGTAACTGAAAAAATTCCTGGTGGGCTGGCAGTTCATTGAAAAAAAAGAGTTTTTGAAACAGTTTTTAAATCAGACTTAATTGGGTGCTTACTTTCCCATTAATGGCTGGTGAACAATAAATGGGTAATTATATTACTTTTTTTTTAAATGATTTTTGTATAGCAAGTTTCAATCTATGTAATTTTATGGTTGTATAGATCTGTTCTTAACTAAAACTGGTAATAAACGTAACAAATGTTGGATTGTAAATGAACAATTTCACACAATATATTATTGTTTAATTTGTGAAATGCATGAATAGTACTAACACATATTATAGTTTATGCAGGATTAAATGCAGCAACCTGTTTGGTATTTTCAGAAATCCCTGTCCCTCATTCTCATTGGAGGGCAAGTAAAAAAAAAAATTTCCAGGGTTGTTTTTAATCTCTAATCTGCCTGAAACTGAAAAAGGTAACCAGCAAGTGCTGGTAGTGTGCTGAAGCTTATCCATTGGTTGACATAATACATTTTTTCATGTTTGTCAAATGGATTTCATGTTTTGGCATGCATGGAGAGATCCTTACAGATCAAGGAGCAGACTTCAATAGTTAGTTGTTTGCAAAATTATGTGAAGTGTTGGGAGTGGTGAAGATGTGCACATCATCATGTCACCCCCTCAATCTGATGGTTTGATTGAAAGGGTAATACAGACTGTCAAGCATTTGCTTGCAAAATGTATCAGCCCTAATCAAACAGATTGGGATGAGAACTTACCACATCATGATGTCATGCTGCAGTCAATTGGCTAATTGTTCTCCACATCTCAAGGAGAAGAAGTACAGCTCTAGATCCCAGTGAGTCTGATGTATGGTTCTACACCCAGTTCAGATATACTACAGTGTCCACAGGAATAAGTAGAATAGCTGAACACTGGAGAAAGAAGTAGGGCCATCCAAATCTGAAATTTCATAGTGTTATGAAAGACAGTCCTAAGCTGAAGGAAGAAAACCAGTGACTACAGGAAGTTGTGTGTTGAAATTCATGCATAGTTAACAGCAGGGAGTAGCTCACCACCAAGATGGCTTTTGGAGGGCTAAGGTGGCTTTCTGTAAGATCACCATTAAGAGACAACAGTCTTTGAAGATTCTCAACAGACTTCCATCAACCCTCTAGTGTTGATAATTTTAAAGATGGTTTGTAATAAGGCTATAATTTTTGCTTTTGCAATATTTTGTGTTGAATAACTAATTGATGCCTTTAATTTCATCTTTAATTCACTGATAGCAGTATGCTTATGTTATTTTGACTTTAAATGATTTTAAGTTATGCCTAATCATTTTGTTTAATCTGAATTTTGATTTCTCCTTTTAGTGTATATAAGTTTATTGTTTTATTCTGTATA